TGAGCAATTTGCCAGCGAGCACTATCTGCAACTGCTTCTCTTTTTTTCCCGTTGGTTGGCACTGACATAAAGTTACTTCTAGCGACGTTAACGAATTCCACAAAGGAACACAGAAAAATATATGTTGAATCCAATGCCCATAATGACAGAGTCCCAGCTTATGCTTTCCCTTGTATGCTGTTGCTAGGTAAGTCATTTTACTTTCTGAAAGTTAATTTACATAGGACATCTAGTTCAGGTGTATGTATCCGTGTTCAAACCAAAAACATTAGAGTATTTATGTTTAATTTAACGTCACAACCGTTCTGTTACTTAGGGGAGTTCTAAGTAAGTAAGTTCTGGAAAGGGAGTTCCGGTACTCCTCTTTCTCTCTTTTCTGTGTTAGGTAAAGCTACTCCTCCTAAAGACACTAGCACAGATCTCCAAAATGTCCACCACAGAACAAAAAGGTCAAAGAAGAGAAAGTTGTTCCCGCTGAATCTTGCCATATCACATGCAAGAGAAACGGCTTCTGAACCTGCCTCACCTAAGTAAACACGGCGCCTAATAAATTCAGTGCCTAAACTGGACCCCAGACATATTAATCTTTGCCCATAGAGTTACCTTCCCCTACTGTCTGTGTATACTAGAGCGCCTACAGACTTCCATTGGTGTAACTTAAAAAATATATATATATCCGAACAAACTCCTGATAATCATCTCAGAGAAAGGGTTAATGATATGAGTGTCAAGTCTGATGGGAGCAAAATATGACTTAAAGTAAGGGTTATAATAATTAGGATTTGTCTTTTGGTGAAATAATTTGACCATAATCACCATCAATACTGTGTAAGTTCCAGTTGAGCATAGGTGGGCTAGATAACATTCTGCTGTGCCTTTTACTGGTGATCTGTTCATCTGTATGTAGTGATAGGAACCGGGGTTGGGGCAGATACCAGGTCTTGAAGTAGGCTTCCATCCTGTGACTGTGTATAGATACTTCCTAAATCCAACTTGAAATTTCATCGTAGGTTCTTTCATAAATATGTGGCCCCATTTTATATCCTTTATTTACATGTGTCCCATAAGTAATTTTCCAGAATTATCCGAGACCCACTGATTTGCACTTCCTAGTCCTTCCTTCCAAATGTCATGATTTCCTTTGATAACCTTAGAACCACAAACACAGCCTGTTGTCCTCAGTAGTATATTCCACTTTAAGTGTGGTGGAAAATTTGGTCTGTTGAGTTTTCTTCTGCTTGTTTATGTAGCCAGGCCACAGGGTGGGAACCTAGCAGAGTAATCCCAACGCTTGGATAGCACTGTTTGCCTCTGCAAGCAAACCAGGAACACTCCACTCCACCAAATTTATTTTGGTTATGCTGATGAAGCTGCAGCTTCCCACACAAATCAGCAAAAATGGGGTTCGTGAAATTGCGATTAACAACAACCACCACTGCAGTGTGTACTCTCCTTCTCTTTTCTCTGTCCTTTTTGGGAAGACAGAGGAAGAATAATGAAACGGTAAAATCTAATTATAATTCAGATTCCACGAATTCAAAATTGTTGTAGTTCAGGCAAGAGCCAGGTATGATGTTTTAAACGTGCTGATATTTCTCTTTTCAGTGATTTTTATAAGAAGGAAATGTTTTCAACTAACCTCAAGCATTTTATACTGTCTTTTATATACACATATTTTATATATTAATAGTAGGTTTATATGTATACATTTAACTGCATCTCCTGAGGTCCTTAATTAGATTCAGCATTGACTGGTGCTATTTACTAATAATACTTGAAATTACTTAGTTGGCATTTCAAAGAGAACATCCAAGATCTCAACGCTTCAGTAACTGGGTCTGGCTTCCAGTTTGTGTGAATTAATAAGGCTGAACTAAAATTAATTCTGCTTGGAACACCCGGGGGCGGTCAGAACAGTCTAGTGCCACACTGCCTGGGGGAGACAGCTGGCTTGCCACCTACAATGTCTGTGACCTCTTAGGCAAGTGATTTAATGCCTCTGTGCTTCAATTTCCTCGTCTGTAAAATTCTGTTATAGTACCTACTCCATAGAGTTAGCACTCTTAAATGCGTTAACCTTTGGAGTGTGTGGCACATACTAATCACTATACACATTTTCTTTTTCAAATGGACAACTCAAATTCATTAGGTTTGCCTTAATTTCCTTTGCACCTGTATGAAATTAAGTCAACCGTGCTGACCTGTACGGATGGCTTAGGCTCTTGCAGTAGTGTCTACGATTATGGTTTTAGTGAGGATCTTTTTCACTGTAAAGTATTAAATTTCATGTTTGTTAGAAACAAAACACATACAATATATTATGGAAGGATAGAGGGACCGGGCACGGTGGCTCATGCCTGTAATCCCAGCACTTTGGCAGGCCAAGGTGGTGGATCACCTGAGCTCGGGAGTTCAAGACCAACCTGGCCAACGTGGTGAAACCCCGTCTCCACTGGAAAAAAAAAAATGCAAAAATTAGCCAGGCGTGTTGGCCGGTGCCCGCAATCCAAGCTACTTGGGAGGCTGAGGCAGGAGAATCACTTGAACCCAGGAGGCAGAGGTTGCAGTGAGCCAGGATTGCACCATTGCACTCAAGCCTGGGCGACGAGAGCGAAACTCCGTTTCAAACAAACAAACAAACAAACAAACAAAAAGGGATGGGTGTAGAGAAAGCTCAAGTTTGTCTGCTGTGGAAGGTTATCTGGAGGTACCACCATCTCAGAAATGTGAGCATTATCAGAGCTCTGGGGTTCATGAACATAATGGTCTCCTGAAACATGCAGATCAGTAGAACTCTACAATGGTTGCATTCTACTGTCAGGCAGTTGACCCAAGCTGACCCACCGCTCCTAGGTACTTGAGCCTTGCCGCATCCTAAGGCTGCAGGTCACGTAGATGCTGCCATCATGCGAATACTACAATTATGAGCCCTACTGGTAGAGCCCTCCTGGTCATACCAGCACCGAGGGCTCCAAAGCTTTGAGGTCATGTGGTCTCTCTTGTTATGTTGCTGCTATGGTCATGTGGTGGGCCCAGCTCTTCCAGTCACTAGAGTATGGTGGACTCCTGAACCCTGTTGCTCACATGGATTCTTCCCTCATGTGGCCGTTACTGGCTACCACCATGTGGAAGTCTCAGCCCTCGAAGTCATGTAGATGACCTACTGTTCAGGGGCATGTGGATGCTATGGTCATGTACACTGTTCCCACCCACTCCTCCCCACGGCCACAGAGTCAGGCTCATTCCTCTCTGTCATGGGAAGATTGTGAGCTGCCAGACTCTGCAGATCCGTGTGTGGGCAGGCAAGTGGCTCCTATCATCATGTGGCAGGCAAAACCCTTGTGGTCACATGAGCACCGCAACTAACCAATGTCTGCTGCACACGTGCCTCCTGTGGTCACGTGAGATTCCACGCCCTCCCAGTATCACGAAGATTGAACTCTCGCGAGTCTTGTCAGAGACGCACTTCCGGCGGTTGTGTGACCTTGACCTCTCCTCTCCTCAGGTACAGGCACCCGCCCTTCAAGTGTAGGGAAGGTCTCCTGACCGTGACTTTCTGAGGAGTCAGAACTACCGAGGTAGACGACCGGTAGAACTGTGCTCCACCCCCTGACTCAGGCGGAAGTTTTATCGGACGGTGGCTCAAGCTGTCCGGCAACTTTCATATCCTGCCGCAGTGGAAGGAAGTCTGGTATTAGGGGAACCAGCCGTTACCAGAAGTTTACTGAGAATTGGGCTTTAAGGGGTGGCTGGGCAATCTTCAAATAACAGAGGCTGTGTGTGGAGGTTTGGGGGGGCTTAAGAACAGAGAAATAGACCATCATCGCTTAAGGGGGCGGAGGGGTGAGGGGGTTGGGTGGAGGTAGGCAGAGGACTTTCTTAATGTGGCCAAACTTGCACACACTTGGCAGAGAAACCTTGTGAGTGTGTGCGCGCGCGTGCTTGCGTGCTTGCGTGCGTGCGTGCTGTCGCGCACGCGTGTGTGTGCTCTCGCGCGCTTGTGCATCTATGTCTGCCGTCCACCTTGATCCTGGATTCACAGGAGCTGTCGTTGGTAGAGAGTGAAGTGAAGGAGGAGAAAGCTCTGGGGCAGAATGTGGGGCTAAGATGTGAGGGGTGGGGTGGGTAGCGGGGCGGCGGGGGTTCACGAACTTGTAAGTCGTCTGTCAGGGTTAGGGCTGTGGAAGCCCGATGGGATCCCCCCTCCCCCACCACCCCGGCCCCACACTGGAAGCTCTACCTTTTCCCGTCACCCTGCCTGATTCACTGTCTGTGCCAGGTGATTCTCTCCTCTGTCCCTCCTCGGACCATGTTGTTATTAAAGACATTCGAGACTGCCTAGATGCCAGTTTGTATAGGCGATTCCAGACCCAATCTTAATTTCTGTCTTTTATTTGATTATGTAAAGATTCTCTTTGTTTCCGTGATTTGTTTTTCTACTAAACATTCTAAACATGGGCTCAGAGGGGTGGGCGAAAGGGAGAGAGGAGAAGCAGTATTTTTTTTTTTTTTTAAAGAGAATTTGATAATTTCAATGAAAGTGTCCAAGTCGTCATGATGTGAAGATTCAGAATTTACTTGTTATACTTTAATTGAACTTCCATTGGCTTTACAAAGTACATTGGGGAGTGGGGTGACAAATTTCATTTTGTGCTTAGGATCCCTCAGTGGCTTATAGTAGTATAGCTTGACGCTCTTTTGTTTCTGATTCTTCCCCTATCACCCCCGGATTCTGTGATTGCTTCTTAGATTCCTTCCTGAAAACGCCCCTTTTCTTCCTGTGGAAAAGTATAGTGAATGGATTTAAGGTACAATCATGGGTGATAACATTTGGTACGTTATGAAAGTGGTATTGGGTGAATGAAGTTGAGCTAATCAGCAAGATAGTGCTTAAACTTATGGGGTTTTAAGTATTGCTCGGCAGATGACTAGAGAATATTGTGACTTGTGATATTTGATATCACATGTAGCTCGAATAATCGATTTTTCTCTCATTTCAGCATTTCCAAGTCTGTTCTGTGAGACACTAGGGCCAGGACAAAGCAACAACAAAATGTGCTCTACTCTAAGGAAGTGTGGGACATACAGAACTGAAGGTAAATGAATACTGTAGGAATTTGTTAGATGCTCTGCTAGTATACAACATTGAGTCCGAAAGGGAGGGCTACTCTCCCCAACCGATATGGGAATGGCACAGTTTTTCCATAGAGCATTTGAGGTACCAGTGCTCTTCAGAAATTATTTGGGGAAACCCTGTTCAGACTACATCTTCTAACACTTTAAAACCTTGTGCCTTTGTTTACTCAGAACAGCGCAGTGTGGGTTTATAGTAGTTGTAATCTATTCTGCTCATTAAGAAATTGGTTATTGCTCTTTAATTCATTTTATGTCATTAGTCAGTCTCTCCTGCTTGAAGCTTTCCACATTTTTGCTCTTCAGAGATACCGCCAAGCATGCGTCTGATACCTTGGTGGTGGCAAACAATACGTGCATAAATGCAAGTGATTAGGAAGTGTTACCTGTGGCAGCAAATAAAGTGCCCCACTCTTGAAAACAGGATACAACTTACCTGTCAGCACAAGCAGACGCAGTCCTGCTCATTTTATATATATATATATAAACACACACACACACACACACACACACACACACACACACACACACACACTTCTTCAGAACCATTTTGTTATTAATAATTACAGCTACCATAATTTGAGCCCCTGTTATATGTCAAGCACTGTGACAACCTTGGCCGTCATGCAAGTTACTGCATTTAACCCTCAGGAAAATCCTGAGAGGGTGTTATTTTAATTGATAGATGAGCTATATGAGACAGGAGAGGCTGAGTGTAATGCTGTGCTTATTGGCAACCCCCAAACCTCAGTGGCTTATTTCTCACTCCTGCTGCATGTTTATGGCAGGTGCACATCCTTCATGGCATGGGGGATGTTTGGGTCTGAGCGATTCTTATTGGAATGACCCAGAGACCCAAACTAATGGAGCAACCACCATCTAGAAAAGGGTTAGTCACTGCGTCAGAGTGGGAGAGAGCCCTAGGGGATCTCAAACCAACAACCAAACGTTCTGGCCCAGAAATAACCCATGTCACTGGTCACTCACAACCCATCGGCCAGAGCTAGTCACATGCACGACCCTGACCCAAGGAAGGCAGTCAGGACGGGCAGTTCTACCAGGTGCCTGGGACAGGGGAGAATGTAAACACTTGGCAAGTGGCAGCACTGACTACCACATGAAGGAATCGAAGCTGGGAGGGATTAAGTACTTGCCTAACACCACATAGGCTGTAAGTGACAGAATCGGGATTTGAATCCACCCTGGTGTGATTTCAAAGTTGGTGTCCTTTCTGCTTCTTTCTACGCTGTCTGCTATTCTCTTATGGGAAGTTTATAGTAAAAATTCTTTTACATCAACGGTGCAATTCCCTCTTCCTTAATCATCTGATAGTTTAATTGAATAGACACGATGGCACTGGTTAAAAAGACCAGCATTGATAAGCTAGAGGTCTTTTCCAAACGAGGGAATGTATTGGATATTTGAATATCCATTGTATTCTATTATAAAAATAAAATCAGGTGGTAGATGAAAGGACAGTTCATTGATCATTTACTTAATATAGAATAATCTCCACGCCTTTCCACTCTGTTAAGGAAAAATGATAAAAATTAGAGCCTACCTTGATGAAACTGAAAACAGATGTGATAGAGTTGAACAAAATTGCTAGATGTCAGTGTTTCAGAAACACAAGATAATGATAAAATCTCTGGCCACATGGGCAGAGGAAAGTTAGTGAGATGGTGCAGGTAAGCCACTTTTGGAATGAAGATAGTGTCACACTTACGGTGACAGAAAAGATGGAAAAGATCACATTATGAAAAAGATGTGATAGTTTGAAAATTTAGATTAAATATTTGAATTCCAGGGGAAAAATATAACTTTCCCTACTGAAGGAATAGAACATCTTAGTTTGTTCAATATATTCTTGACAAGGAATACATGCAAAGGCAAATTTACTAGCTGATCTGAATTAGTCACAGAAGCGCAAATAATATAAATTAATTAATGGCAAACTAAACCCAACAATGGGTAAAACAGATGACACAGCATGACAAAGTTGTGTTTAATCCCAAGCGTGCAAGCTTTTTTTTTTGACATTTTAAGAGATCCGTAATGTAATTTAACACATTAGCTGAATGAAGGGAGGAGGACAGGACACATAACACAAAGATCATTAAAAAAAAAAAAAAAAAAAAAAAGGTATGCAATAAATTAACCAGCCGGAATCGACCAACAAGAATAACAGTAATTCTCAGCAGATCGGTAACATAGAAAGCTATCTCTTTAAATTGACGGTGGGTATCGAAACAATACACCACATCAGACACCGCCCTTGATAGTAAAACACTAGAAGTATTCTCCTTACAATCAGAAAAGGGATAAAGATGACTGGTATGACAAATTCTGTTCAATGTCATACTGAATCTAGTGCAGTAAGCCTTATATCATATTAGGCAGTGCAGTAAGCTGTGATGCATGCGTGCCTGCGTACATAAATGAATATATGTATAAAAGTGAAAATAAACAAATTTATAGCTGTCAATGTGCCTATCTTCATATGAAACTCAAGAGAAGCTACAGAAAATTAAAATTAATAATGAAGATTAACAAGTTTGTTGGATATAAGACGAATATACACAAACCATTGTAACAAATGGAAAATACCATCTCTATTGTAAATATACCATTTACAATAGAAAAAAAGTGTCTTGTGAAATATACAGTGAATCTGCTTATTTGGCAGCTATTCCAACACTCTTGAACATTCTTATATGCTTTCCTGTACCGTAGGGACTAGAAAGTTGGAACACGAAAGGAAACACACATGCATACCACCACATGCATGGGTGCACTCTCTCTCTTTCTCTATGTGTCTCTCTCTCTCTCTCACTCTCTCTCTCTCTCTCTCTCACACACACACACACAATTTACCGGAGCCCCTTGCAGTTAGGGTCCCAAATGGGATATCTATCATATGAAGCATATGTGCCAACATGAGACTCAGAGGTGGAACTGAATAACATGGGAGCCATATGTGGGGTGGACTACCTGTGTCGAGGGAAGTCTCCAGGTTTTATGGGGCAGCCATTGTAGAGTTTCTAGAATTCAGTCTCTGTCATGCATGTCAATTAATGGGCAGGCAACAGTGGTATTTCAGCTGTGGCGGTTTCATAATGTGGGTGGACTTCTCCTGGCTGTGCAGCATCCAGGCCTGCTTTTCTGGCTCTCACAGAGTTTTTGTAACCTATGTAATATATTTTATTACTGATATCTTGTTTGTATAAAACAGCTAGAGTGAATTCTGGCATAGGCAGGTTGGGACCTTGATTAACACACTACTTGGCACCAAAATTGGTTGCAAGCAAAAGACCTTGAAGGAAAGGGGGATTTGGGATAGATTTGTCCCACAGACCATAGTTGCTGACCACTGCTCTAAGCTAATAGACTCATTGGGTCCCCAAAACAGTGCTGAGTGGGAAGTCAGCAAAATGAGGAGGCAGCTATTCCTAGGATCCTCTGGCAAGCATAAGCCAAAAGCTGAGGCTTTAACACAGTTGTTTTCAACCTTGGTTGCATACTGCAAGTCACGTGGAAAGTATAAAAATGTGGTTGCCCGGATCTAACCCCGGTTCTGCTTTGATTGTTCTGGGTGTGTCCTGGTGCTAGTGAATTGTCTCCAGGTCTCCAAGTGGCTCTAATGTAATCATGGTTGAGAACTGCTTGAGCAATTTAAATGACAAGAATGCAAGTATTTTACCATAAATACTTTTAAAATGTTATAATTGTGGCTTCAGAATGATAACGTTACAACATATGATAAATACAGAGTTACACTGGAAAATATGAAATAAAGATTCCCGTGTAAGAAATTGAGGAGAGTGTCTTTTTCAAACAGAAAGGAAATGAGAAAACTGGTAAAGCAGGGGCCACCACAGCTTGTGTCCGGGTTGAAGCTAAACTGCCGGCAAGGCCAGAGCAGCGTATGGGTTAAAGCAAAGTGTCCGTGAGCCCAGGGCTGATTCAGCAGTGGAGGTTCCTCTGCAGAAGACAGCCACAACCCAGGGTCAACATGGAAGGGATGGCACAAACTCAACAAATCCAATAATTGGCACTGAGGGAATAGAAAAAAATGGAAGCAACTGAAACAGACATTAAGATAATATTTCCCCAGAGAGACAAAGGAGTGATAAAGGATGAAATTATGTCCGTTATAAAAGAATAGAAGGCTGTCCAAGAAAGATGGCTAATTGAAGGCAAGTTTCTCCTTTCACTTCCTCCTGAAACTTCATTAAAACAACATCAAAGGTGAACAAATTGTGGTGTGTCCATCAAGGGGCTACTACTCAGCAAGGAAAATTCAAGAACATGGGTGGGTCACAGAAACATGCCGAGTTGAAGAAGCCAGACACAAAGGGGTACAGGGTGTTTGATTCCGTTTCTGTGAAATCCTAGAATAGGAAAACGAATATATACTAACTGAAAGCAGATCAGTGTTTGCATGGAGCCAAGGGATGAAGAGGAGATCAACTGGGAACCTTTTGGGGTGTGTGTTATATTCTATATCTTGATTGATGTGGTAGCTTGCCCTAATCCCTGGAATCTGGGATCAGGAGAAGTTGAATGAGTCGTTAAAAGTGAGGTTAGCTTATTAATCAGAGGGAAGATATCCACACCCGATTATCAATAATAAACGGTTTCCATTGTGCTGTATATGGGCCAATAGGAAAAGTGCTTCTTCCCAAGCACTTGGCAAAACCCTGACCCAGCCATAAACATCCACAAGTATAAAGCATAGGTGTGAAAGGATAACCATTCTGCATTCCAGCCACCTGCTTCTACACATGGTTGACATTCTCACGTGTCCCTTTACCCTGACTTGTTTGTGTTCATATATACAAATGAAAACAGAATTTTTCACTGATATTTTCTTCTGAGGAATCATACTATAATATACAGTTTTATAACCTGACATTTTTTTTCTTTCGCTTTGTATCACGTGGTGTGACGAATCTTCTGCCTG